ATGGTCAAGCACCCTCGAGGCAGCTACACAGTGCTTACAACTGTCTCTGGAATTGAAAGCACCAGAAAACACATTAAGTCATACGCAGCTGTCATCCGTAGACTATGCAAGGAAGTCAGTACAAGATGCCGAACACCCTCAGCAGGATGCAGCACACCCTNGGTGAGAACCCGGCGTGCTCCGTCCCGGCTTTGTAGGGATGCGAGGTCAATGGTCTAACGACTACGGCATGCACGACTATGAGTACACCCCCCCCCGCCCCCCGTACGTTTCGCCACATGCATCAGGCCGCCGAAGCCTCCATGGACGTCAGTCCGGCCGATCTAGTCAGCCTTACCTTGCCTGTCTACAAGAACATGTCGCCTATGGCGGGACCGTTCGGGATGACTCGTGAGATGATCATTTCGATGGCGACGACAGCAAACCACTACACCTCTGTCTCATTCATCCGGCTCTTGGTTGGGGCCGGTCGTCGGCTGCGCCTGAGCGCGACCCACTACAGAGCAGTGCTGCACGCACTCATGAACAACAGCGGCATGATGTTGGCTTCAAACCTGAGCCAGGAACAGGTATTTATCTTACCGCGGATACTTTGAAAAGTCGTCCCTTACATTGGCTTTGTCGAAGCCGGTGCAACCGAAGTACATCATTCGAACAGTATCGACTTTTTGTTCGCAAAAGCCGCAAAGATATTGCAGTATTGCTGATGGAATGAGAGCTACCCATGTGATCGACCAGCTCACGCTTTGTAAGAAGCTGCCGACGAAACGTGTCTTCCTCAACTGAGTTGCAAGCATTCCCCACCTCCTTGTCCCTTTTGGACTTTTGATCGCGCGTCCAGATGGCTCTTTTCCACGCTCTGGACCTGGCACGCATGCGTCCGTGCGACCTCGGCTCAGGACCAATCCCGCTCGACACGCGCCGAGTGGTGCTCTTGGTTCCCAAGTCCGGACTTAGCCTCCTCCGCCACTTTCAACTCCCCGGTGTGTACCTGTCGGTGACGGGGGCGACGACACAGCAGCCGTTCGACAACCACTTCACCTGCGCCCACATGGCCTACGTGCGGGTGCATCGCGGCGGAGGCCTCGACGGGGAGGGCGGCGGTGGCAACGGCTGGCGTTCCCTGAACAAGTACCTGAGCGTGCGAGACGCTCGAGAAGACGACCCCGAAGCGGAGCTCATGGTGTCCGCGTTGCTGCCGACGATCGCACTAGTGCTGGCCGTCCCGTCGGTGACGGAGCTGCAGCTGCGGCCGCGTGAAAGTATCGAGGTGATTAATGCGCCGAAGGACATCAAGAAGAGGCTGGGCGGGGACCACAAAGTGTTCTACAAGGCGGGTATTTCGGACGCCGATCGGGTGGCAGTCCTGACACCTGGCGAAGTTGGCAAGTCCGCGATGACAGCTGAATCACCGCCACCTCTTGCTTGCCCTCAGATTGGCGTGGCTTGCATTCCCGACCAGGCCACATCGGCGTATTCCGCGCAACTAGTGCGCAACAGCACCTCCGAGGCCGCCGCCCTTCACCGGTCTCTTCACGGCGACTCGGCCATTGACCAGTCGGTTGAGCTGATCAATCAAGCGGGACGGGGGAGTGACGTCCTGTTGGCGTTTAAGGTGACTCTATTGATGGCAAACGACCATGCACGAGCCCTTATGGCCGCGGCAGAAGGAGCGCCTGCGGTAGAGCTGATCCGCGACCCCTGCTCGATCCGCGTCAAGCTGGTGGAAGGGCTACGCCACACCGCCCGCCTCCCGTTCCCGGTGGCCAAGAGGAGCGCGATGAAGATCACGTTCAGCAAAAGCAAAGGCTACCTGTGCGTGACGGCTCCGCTTCTCAAGGGTCCACTCCAGGCCCCGTTTTCGCTCACGGTCTACAGCAACACCGAAGGTTCCGGCCACAGGGCCAACCCGTCGACGGTTTTCTGGCCGTCGTGCGCCCCGCTTTCGTCTCTGCCGAGGCTAGACTTCAAGGCCGAGTGGGTACACCGCAAGGTGGGCTGTACATGTATGTGTGTGGAACATCCGGGGGTGTGGTTGAACCGGACGGTTGGTGAATTCGAGTTGAAGGCGCGCGGAGGCATGGTGCGTCCGCGCGCTTGGGCGGGAGAATCATTCAATGATGGTCCATCATTGAACGCCCAACTCTCTGCTGCGTCATGCAACTTTAGAAATGTACGAAGTATCAAGTCAATCCGTTCCAGGCAGTATGAATTTTCCTATCCTGCGGTCTGGCCTTCCTAGCCGAAAAATCCAATCCGGTACCTTGTTGGGAGACATTGGGCATGGTTGCAAACCGTGGGGGGTACCCCGGTTGTGAATACTTCCTTCCTGTGCCTCTAGGACCGTACTGTTCGATGAATGGAGAGTACTCCATATAAGTTGAGTCTGAGGGAACCTCCACTGGTACGGTACATAGAGATACCCGCGGTCTAGAATGCTTTTCGTCCGAAAGGTTTCCATGGTTTCCGTTAAACAGCAAAAGCCTCAAGGTTCTGTCGCATGAATAAGTATTTCCGAATCGTGTATGTATCGATACCAAGACCACCCACTGTAAAGATGGGAAGAAGACGCCATTTGCGGTTGACGTTAGTCCGCCTAATCTCTGCACGCAGGTCATGGGGGAGCTTTCGTTAACCCACGCTGAAGTGCTGATGCGAGATGAAGCCACGACACAGAAGAAGGGCGGGGTGGACCCGGCACTCCTCGGGTTGAAGGTGGGCGTTCCTATTGCAGAAACCATCGGCATGAGCGTTTTCCGCATCTTTTACTAAAGCAGAGAAGTTGTTTGCGAGGGTTTCACCCTGAAACACCAAGTGTAGTGCCCAAGGAGCGCTACGAAATCCGCTAGACACATGTAACAATACGCACCGAACCCACCTGCAATGCCCGACCTCTTCCCCTCTGGCTACGGCGCGATGGTCTTCTAGGCTGAAGCTAGCATCTTGACTCCATGCTCAATATTTTTGTAAGTTTGAGATGGTAACATAGAAGTATAACGTGACGATACTAAGGCCCCCTTGTAGACGGGAACAGGGCATGTATAAAAATCACCAGGTCTTGACGTTTCCGCTCAAGGTCATATTTGCCTGTGTTGTTGTGCTGTCTGGGAGTTAGCAAATCTCTCTTTCTATTGGGAAACAACGCGACGAGGTGCTTCCGCATCAGACGGCGTGTGGTGTACGTCTCTTCCCCTCCCCTCCCCTCCTCTTTTGACAATCGGCCAACAACATGCACCACAGAGTGCAACGTGGACGGCGCGGGCTCATGAACAGCTGCTCTCTCCAATGCTGATACTGTCGCTTCGGCTATTGTAACTACCAAGAATGCCAGGATAGGTCACACATGTCTATCAGCCTGCCGCGTTGGATTTTGTGGCGAATCGTTTGATTCAGTCCGCAGATTTGTGATAAGAGGAATCTCGTGGACTCATTCGAGATTTAGACTGCCATGTGCCCATGCTGAATCGTAGGCACTACATGCTCGCGAGCTCATTTGTTTTGCACAGTGAAAACCTATTCTTGGCCGAGAGCTAGTATTCATAGGCATCATCTTCTCCGACCACACATGTGTGGATGGATTCGTTGTACCACGTGAAAACCCGCCACCCCGGCACCTTGTCGTGGTGGTTCTATCTGCATGATGCCGTCTTTTGTCGCGCGGCATGAGCGTAGGTGGGCATGTATTGCCGTGCTGAAACTTTGCATGGGCGATGCTGTTCGCGTTGTCTTTCCATACGCCCCTATCAATACACGGTACCCATTGCGTGAGATTCACGGATCGGTGCCCTCCTTGACTGACGACCAACGTTTTTCTCAACGCCAATCAATGATCTTGCAGGAAAGCTTCATGGCCATCGCTTCGATGGCCTGCACGCATCACCAGGACGAACTCCCCGTGTGGACGCACCCATGGGTGTGCATCTCCGATAGTCATCGCTTTGATCAGCCCGCGATCTGGTTGTGGGTGAACGAGATCCTCCTGGACTCCAGCAACGAGGCGCTCATCCTCGACTGCTGCGTCATGCCGGTTGCTCGCATGGACGATCCAGTTTCTGCCCAGCTGAGGGAGACCATTGCACTCCAAGATGGCCCGAGCTTTGTCGCCTCGAAGGTGAGGTTTAGAGGTCATTTACCGTGCATCGGTTGCCCGCTTGATAAATGGCAAATCCACCGTAGGGAGCTTTCTGGGCACATCTCGTTTCAAACCTGCACCGCGCACCCACCTCAGCTTCCGGTTGTTAACTATCCCAACTTGCTTTTTGCCTTGTTTGCAGGCCTACCCTGGCGAACTCGCGCTTTGGGCGGCATTGCTGCCTGCAGCCGTCGAGCGTGCCCGGCAGACATACGCTCACACTGCTGACTGCACGTACGCCTCCCCGGGTGATGCTCCCTTGGCTCTATGCGGCTGCGGCAGAGGCAAGGATCTGCACTCCGAGTGCCTGCACTCGATAGAGTTGGCCAATGCGATGGGAGCGCGAGTCCCTGTACACCCGTCGGTGTACAGAGCAGCGTTTTCTCCGCTTTATGCTCCTCCGGACACGTCTTCGTTCGTCACAGTGGCGAAGACGGCCGCGGCTAGCGTTGCCGGGTCTCACAAGTGCACCAAGTGTGGAATCAGGGGGAAATCCTTGCAGTGCACGCGTTGCCGTAAGGTCAGCTACTGTTCCAAGGAGTGCCAACGCCAACACTGGAAGATCCACAAGGCTGCCTGCGGCTGACTTGGGTGCGTGCGCTGACAGCAGCTGCGGCGTGAGCGAGTGACGAGTTGCTGCTTGCAGCCCGTCGTACTGCGCAAAGCCCCCTTCACCTCCGTGGGCAAACCACGTGTCGTTCCTCCGTGGTTGCTTGTGTTGCTCACGTATGCTAATGCAGGGGTCGGGCTGACAGGCGGTGTTATTCAACGTGCGCAGAACCCAGGCGGGGAAACAAAAAGGACCCATCTAAAACAGTTTTTTTGCGAATAAAAAACTCCGCTATCGCTCCGTTTTTTTTTTCGCACGCGCGCTTCGTGCGCGGAAAAAACTCCTATAAAAAGTAAAACTTCTTGTTTTCGTCAAATCGAAGTGAATATCTCCCAAGGACACTCGTTGTTCCCCTCCACTCGGTGTTGGAAAACGTTGCCACAAGTGTGTCGATGTGGCCCCCTGATACGTTGCCAAAAAATAGTCGTAAGGGTGTCATGAGGTATCAACTCGTCCTAAGTCTTCCCTTTGAGGCATGATATTGGACACTCTCCCATGGGGAACATAGGTGGGACCCGGTGAGAAACGCAGTTGTTGTAGGGGAAATGTGGGGGGCAATCCTCGCGACCAAACTGATGATGCAATCTCACCACGATTGCATCACCCGATGACCATGCTGCCCATGTTCCACCGGACTCGGTCCAAGTATTGGTTCGACCCCTACTTTTCTCCACAGAACACTCATTGGCAAAATCATAACTGGGATTTGGGGGAACATTTTGTAGTAGAGCATTGAGAGACCCCCCAAACAACTCTGGTGGAACCGAGGAAAAATTGAGGCCAATACTACATGCTGGTAATTTCGACGGAGTCGGGATCCGTCACAAACAAAGCGGTGAACGGATCTGGCAACAGTACAACACGCCTACTCCCGAATTACCGGGGTACGTCGATGGTGTACGTGTCACATGAGCACTTTGTGTCCATCATGTGAGGCCAGCCCGCAGATTTCTCGCAAGATGCCTCCCATATGCAGCACCAACCGGCAAATATTCGGGAGCACGCTCATTCACCCGATGCTACATGTTCATTGATGGCGCCAATCTCACCTTCGCGAAGAAAATCCCCGCACCACCGTCAATTTCGTCGAGCTCGATGGCGGCCCCTAGCTGGGTAGTAGCTGCGCCTCCCAAGCGATCCACGAGCATGACGCAAGAGTCGAGGACGAATGCCTTGTTGCTCGAGTCCAGGAGAATCTCATTAACCCATACCAATAGAGCAGACTGGTCCATATCATTGCCGTCTGTGATGCATACCCACGGGTGTTCCCACCTTGGCCCGTCCTGGACGTGGCGTATGCAGACTGTGGAAGCTACGGCCAAGAAGCTCTCCTTTGGGGGTGAAGGAAATGTGCAGGAAACTCTGGGTATTCTACACGCAATGGGTTGGTCTACAACCCTCTCCTGGGTGTGTCCGTAACCAACAACATTGATTGGCCCAACCTTGAAGGCAAGCACTTCCCTAGCAATGGCAAATTTTGTGCCATACCTCTGCAGAAAGAGCCAAACTATGCATACGTACGTCGTTCAGGCGTGATTTCCCCTGCGGAAGCAGGCGGAGGCGGAACCTACTATCTTTTGTCTCCCGTGCCACCCGGTTTATTGAACATTGGCATAAAAACATAGAAATGACTCGTAGCTGCCGGGCAATGGGGACGAGGGGCGTGGACAGGCCTTTTCGTAAATGCAGAACGCAACAACACAGAAACAAAGAGAGTGCAGTTGGTCGGATATGACCTTTGTTTGGCAGCTTAGACCTTGCTGGCCAGGCAATGCTTTTGCATGCCGGACCCGTGGTGTCCTTGTTGCGACGGTACCGTATACATCGATTGAAAACCGTTGAGATCTCCGCTTCCGACAACCCGTATCCTCGATTTCCTTTCCGTATTTCGACGAATCAGAAGCGCGCCATGAGCTTGCAACACGGTCGGGACAAGAAAAACAGCCTCCGAATCCAAGTTCAAGAGACGGCCAACAACGATCACACCGAAATAATACCTTGAGGCCGCGGGAGGCGGTGTCATGGCCGCCCTTCTTTCCCCTGATGATCGACATGCCCCCCATGACCTGCAGGCATATTGTTCGGGGGACAGAGGGAATGCGTGAATGTGCCCGACCTTGTACTTCGCGAGGAGAGGCATTGTCGCCACCTCAGTTTGCTCAACTCGGTGGGATGATAAAATCTCGTCGATTTTCCAAGGGCAATGCACAGGCAACACATGCGGGAAAATTCCGCAAGACAGCTTTAAGCCACTGGTTTTGGTTCGGACCTCGATTTTTTCGCACCTGCCCGTGAGTCCACTCCGCCTGAAAGTCTAACCTCGGCAACGATGCCAGAGGGACACACGGTGACCAGAATAAGCTTGACGGCAGGCCCGCCAGCGCAGTCACTGGGATCTGGGCGGGGCTTCCACCAGGCGGTACCGTGAAGATAGCGTGGCCCTGGCGCTTGCAAACTTTCAGATTGATAGCGCCCTTCCTGACGGGGAACGGGAAGTGCGTGATGTGCGCAAACCTCCCCCTAAGCTTGACACGCACCGAGCAGAGACCTCCCGCTTTCTCATCCACTGCCGCACCACGCGTAGCCAGCACATCGCTTGCCCATCATCTGCCATGCGCAGAGTGCCCTTGTAGACCAGACCGGAGCCTTCAATCATTCCGGAATCGCTGATGAGCTCAATGGAGTGGTCGCCTACGAAGTCGCTGCGGGTAGAATGGTGGAGAACGGTCTGTGTGACGTGGAGCACTGGCACGCGTGACGATTGACTTTGGCGCCGGGTCGTCGCGACTCTGAGGGGACAACTGCGCTTTACGATTGAACCATCGCCTTGCCCGGTAGGAGTCAGGACCGCCACCCTGTCGGCGTCACCGAGGTCCGCTTTGTAGAAGACTTTCCACATCCCACCCCCAAGCTTTTTCTTGATGTGTTTGGGTCCCTCTGATATCTGGGCACTTTTTTGAGGTCGTAGTTGCCGTTCTGTTAGTGACGGTGGTGTAACCGTTAACGCGAAGTTGGCACAAAAGCGAATACCATGAGTTCCGCGTCAGGGTCATCCTCCCGGGTGCCCCGCACACTTAGGTGGCTGTTCAGAGACTGCCAGCCGTGGGCGTTCTCTTCGCTGATACCACCTCCACGATGAACCCGGACGAAAGCCATGTGCACACTGGTGAAAATGTTGTCGGAGGAGGCGCACACTCCCGTCAATGACAGGAAGACCTCTGGCAGGCGAAACGCTCGTAGGAGGATGAGCCCCGACTCCGGAACAAATAGAACGATCCGTCGAGCGTCGGAGGAGTTGTGCCTCAAGTGAGGAGGCAGACGGATAGGTGCCAGTCCCATCGCTTGAAATACAGCCATCTGGAGGAAAGCAGGGAGCATCACGAACAGAAAATCAGGCCACGCCTGCAAATATTAACGCGGTGAATTCATGACGGAGCGTTCTGGATACGATGCATCTTTCCCGCACGGTGCTAGGCAGCGCACAGTTAACGTGTGACTGATACAGGCGTGCAAGTGCACAATGGATATCCGCTCATGTAATCCATATCTATTGTGAGCATACCTGTTCCTGCCGAAGACTCAGGGCCAGCACCAATCCGCTGCTTTCGAAAATAGAAACCCGTGCAGCCTCAAAGTCTGCAGATCCCAGGCGCAACCGACGGCCAGCCAAGGCTAAGACCCGTGCAAATGAGACCGACGTGTAGTATTTATTGGTCGCCGCAGAAAGGAGGAGCTGCTTGTTGTCGAGCCCGAACATCGACGACATGTTTGGCATGTGGGAGAAGATAGTCTTGTAGACCGGCAGGGTAAGGCTGGCAAAGTCGCTTGGGCTGATATCCACTGAGGCTGCGGGAGGCTTGAGCAACAGCAACGAGAGTATCAATCAACATGATCGTGGCGCAAGGCGAGGACAGAACCAGGGTCCCGCTAGCATGCGCAATTATCCGATACCTACTCCTTTTCCATGTAGATTCTACCGCACGCACTCGCCGCATGATCACTAAATATCTCTGTGCAAGGTCACAAAGCTGTCGCACAACCCGATCTTCCAAACTCCTGCTTATATCCGCCATTCTCGAATGCGTCTAGACCATACGCCTCTTTCTCTGTCCCCGGCTGGACATCGCTGGTAAGTCTTCCGGTCCTACAGACAGGTTGGGGTCGGATCAATGTTTCATATATGCCGCCTCACCACGGGTGACGTGAGATCCGGCGATGGCCGTTTCCATGTCAGCCGCAATCGCGTGGATGCTGACCCCGAAGACACGTCTTGTTGAGTAGGTAAGGTACCGGACAGGAACGCCATTGAGTCCGCATGTCCCACCACGGATGAAAGGCTCGATACGGGTACAACACCTGTGATAGAGCCAAAGCGACAAGGTGCCCTAAATAGAACTTCACCACCCCCAGGCGACTCTCTAGCATGTTGCTTTTTGACAGTTTGTTCGAATCCGGACAACTGCCGAAGTAAACGGGTCTATCTCACCACATAAATTCTCCATGACAGGAGAAAATTCGCACCTCTGCCGCATTCCTATATCCTCTGCCATAAGCAACGCTAGTAAAACAAAAGTGCTACAGTTAGACCCTGGGGTTACCCCGATTTTGAGGCCAAAAATGTGTCCCAAACCGGGTGAACTTTTCGTGGCAAATAGACTGCGCTTTTCCTTCTTGGACCAATAAAAACGTTTGGAATTTGAATAAAAAAAAGAAGACACACGAACACACACGAACAGACTGGATAATATGGTCAAGCGCGTTCACGCAGCAATGCGCGAGGTGGACACCCGTCACTGCGCTCACTGAGGCTGCTGGCACACACAAAAAGCCAGTATCCCACAGCCCGACCGGTCATAGATGGCGGACCCCACCGGTTCGACGGCGGACCCGCCCGCTTCGACGGCGGACCCGCCCGTTCTGTTGCCGAAAAAAAGAAAAAGGGCAACGGGCAAACGCGATGAACCCCAGACCAACCAAACGTTCCCCGCTTCCTCCACC